TCCTTCAGAGCCTTGTATGGGTTATAATTCAGCTCCAAGTCTGTTGGTTCACCAACCGTGGAAGTAAAAAGACACAGCCTCCTTTGCCTCAGGTGACTTGGGCCTTCTTTTCAGCAAGGATGCAGGCTCTGTTCTCTGACAGGCCTCTCCCTAGGAACTAGGAAACTGAATATTCAGTTCTCCTCCCAGAGCTCCTCCTCTTCAATATGACTTGCAGGTGTTGGCTGCTCCAGCCCAGAGCTTCTCCTTAACCCCTTTCTGCCTGGTGTGGCTTTTATATACCTCATCACATTTATACATTTGTATTTAAAAAATAATATATTGCAATATTGAGATCCCCTATCTGAAAATGTATGCACAAAGGGAATTCAGTTAAGATTAATCATAGCCTTAACTTTTGAAATTCTCTGACTTTTGAGTAATTTGTTTATTAATTGTAATCATCCACCAAGGCTAGTTTGCTTGCATAGAATATATTTATTTGAGGGTACCAGATATGCTACTTCCACAATAAAAAATAGTCTTGTTGGTGTAAGAATACTGAACACTGTTTTGGTTTTCTTTTGTTTGTTTTTTTACAACTGCAAGATCCTTGTGGCCTCTGTAATAGGTCACTTTCATAAGATACATGCATATATGAATACAAATGTGTTTAAGTATGGCTTCATTTAAAAGCATCTCTGTCATAGACACAGCCATTTAGCCTCTGCCTGCCTGAAGCTGGGAGTAGATTATTCAATGATAGCCCGTTTTGTCCCTCTGATGCCTGGCATTGGCCACTGCTGGAAGACAAAATTCTAGCTAGCTGCACCGTTGTTCTGATCCAGTACAGTCATTCTTATGTTCTTATTTTCACTGGTATACAGTGCTTCTAATCTTTTTTGGAGGCAGAGCCAGTAGTTTCATGTTAAGTGTCTTTCTTGCTGCTAGTGTAGTGAGAGAAGATTAAGTCTCACTCATAGCTACTGGAAACCAGCTGTAAGTGGATCCAAGCCAGGGAAAGCTGTGTGTAGTGACTTGAGAAAAGAGGTTTCTTAATGGCTCACAATAGGTATTACATTTCTCATTCTTTCTGTATTATGTTTCTCCCCCCTGCAAATTCTTACAGAATTCTCAAGCCAGCAATGTGAACTAGTAAAGGTTGCTAAGTCCATGGGACACTTTGTAAACCCTCTCCTTCATCTAGGAAGGACAGCAAAACTACTCCAAAAGAAGTAAGATTGGATTGTATGTGGACATAAAAGGCTTTTTAAAGGAAAGAGGTTGGTAATATAAGCTAAAAGGAAAAAAAAACATTAGAAATAGCAAGCTAATTCTAGAACTATAACAAATGAACTATTAAGAGCAAGCACTATGGGAAGAGAGATTATTTTTAATTTGTCTACTTTGCTGCAGTATTTTATAGCAAATGAATAAATAAAAGAATTAAGTAGCTATCATTCTGACTGTACCATATTTAACAACACAAAAACATCTTTATAAAAACAGCAGTCTGAACCTAACATGTTAATGGTGACAATTGAACCAAAACACATGGAAATCCCTTTGGAGAGCCAACATATAAATGAAGCTATTAATTAGGTTGCAATTGTTTTCTAACAAGCCTTTTGTTCAATATAGTGGCAGTAATCACAACCAGATCCATCAGTCTTTATGAGGAAGTATTCACTAGTGAAAAAATACTTAATTATTATACCTTAAGCACTTGTTGTTACATGACTTATTAGGACTATATTTAGGAAGGGACTAGCCAGCAGTAAACTATAATCTGTCAATTCATAGCCCAATGTTTGTGATGCACCAGAACACCAGCTGCTTTATTTTTGTATACACCACACAACCATTACAATCCTCGATTATTGGTTTAAAATGCATTTACAGTGTCCTGGAGGAAAAAGTAACTAGAGAATAAAAACACTCCCTCTTTTAGCTTTTATAAGAGAAAACATTTAATAAAGATGGTTCTATTAATATTACCTTCATCTAGGAGGGGAGAGTATAGTTTGTCTTCAGCTTGACCAACCCTTCTCTTCAATCATAGGGGTGACCTCTAGTGTCATTTCTATTGTTGCTTTTTGTGATGTACATGCCCACAAAGGCCTCCATCCTATGATTAATAACATGTGGATGTATAGCTGTGCCCATGCAGATTTTGACAGCTGTGCCCTGCTACCCAAGACTCTGTGCAAGGGTAGCAGGCAACTGTGAGCTACCAACTGCATGACTGGGACTTAAGAAATGAGCTGAGATGACAGATATCATTTAGTCAACCACTAAACAACTGACATTCATTGACTACTAGCAAGCTCATTTTAAACCAATCAGCAAGAGATTAAATTATATTCTTTTATTATCATGCTGACCTCCACCTTGATATAATATGTCTAAATCCAGCTTTCAAGTTTTTTACAGTAAGACAGCACAGAAGATGGAAGAAACATGAAGAACAAATAAACGGAGACAATTTACACAGATATTCAATGGGAGGAAACAAATATAGAAAGCTGATAGAGGACTAAAGGATACAGCAAAGAACAAAGGACCAAATTAGGGTGCATCTACGCAGCAGGGCTTACCTTGATATAAGCTACGCAAATTGAGCTACAGCAATTGCGTAGCTTATTTCAAAATAGATTATTTTGAAATTGGGAGCGTCTACACAGCACTTATTTTGAAATAAAGCACTCTTCCCCCGCCTTCCCTTATTCCTCGTACAATGAGGGTTACAGGAGTTGGAGTAAGAAGTCCTTCAGCTTGACAGTATTTTGACATTATTTCAAAATAAGTGCTTGCTGTGTAGACGCGGACTAAGTTATTTCCAAATAACACTAGTTATTTCAAAATAATGTTACTGTGTAGACAAGCCCTTAGACAGAAGTCTGCAATACAATATGGGAGCAAAACAGATCAGTTCAAATTTAGGTTGCTCAGACTCAAAAAAGACAAAGCAGGTAAGCAAGGGTCCTTCTCTATATAGCTGAGACAACTGCACATTAAATACTGTTTGTAGTTCTGTACATCAATGCCAGAAAGACCCTTACAAACTGGAGGAAGTTAAGAGAACAGAAACAACAGTGGCATTTGGAGGAGCTTGCTTATGAGGAAAGACTTAAATGTCTCATATGAGTATTCACTGTTAGTGACTCTGAAAGAGTAATACAAATATTTGAATGCTGTAGAAGACATCAAGGAAGGAAAGTTATATCAGGACAGTACAAGGAGTATCCATACTAGAATGTGATGAAATTAAGAAAACATAAAATAGCAATACAACTCTTCTCCTATCGCTGTTGAATAATCTCTCTAGAGAAGTGGTGGAAATCCTGCCACCGTTTAGGATGTTTATTTGGGAAACACTAATTCATGTACGTAAGACAGGGCCATGGGCACACAATAGCTGTGGAATTCAATTCTTGTTACAAAATTAAGTTCTAGAATCTTTTCCCTTATAATAAACATTATGTTATTAACCATTATGTTTGTGAAAATAACCTTGAAAAAGTTAACTGAATGTAAACCAATGTAGTATTATTGGCTGGAGACAACCTGAACCAATAACTTCAAGAGCTATGAACTGCTTAATTCATCTCAGTCAGGATCCACAATTCCACAGACACAGAATCTTTTTTTTTTTTCTTAAATATTCAGTTACTAAAAGATTTACCCAACATTGCTCCTTAACTCAAATAAGTTTTATTTTTCATTTAAATCATTGCTCTAGGGTGGGGCTGGGAATAAGGAGTTCAGTATGTAGGCTGCCCTGGAGAGAGAGGACAAACCCAGCCCTCTCTCGCCACAGCAGCTTGGGGCCAAGCAAAAAGCCTCTGTCCATGGCCACTGCAAATTCAGTGGGTATAGCTAGGAGGGCAGTGTATGAGTGGTGCTGGGGGACATACACACAGACAAACTCTTTGAAATATATAGTTGATAGCTGTTCCTTTCTGCATCCATGCCCACTGCTAATCCAGGGGTTATAGCTGTTCTGGTCCCCATCTCTGGTCCCTCGCTGCTCCCCTATGGTCATTCTTCAATATAAGTGTCCCTCCCGCGAGACCCCTCTCTTTCTAGTTGATGAGAAACAATCGCATTCCAAGCACATCCCATTGTCCTGGCACAACCAACTCTTACCTGGCTTTAAGTTAGGATACTAAATTTGGTGGTCCTAACTCTTACCGTTTAGGAGGCGTTCTTTAACAAACAGACTCATAGATCGATGGACACACAGACATTTCTAAAATATATAAAATCTAAAGTATAATATTTTGCTGTATATGTCAGCACTTTAGTAAGGCTTTGTCTTCTTTTCTGTCTCCCTGGCTTACCAAGCCCTTCCTTCAACCTTCCCCACTAAGTTATTCCTTGGGACCTAAAATGTCCAGTTTCCACCCATGAAGCAAGTGTGTGTGTTGATGGGGCAGGGCAAAGATAAAAGTAACAGAAGGAGTCCAGGTACCAGAAACACAAGCAGGGAAGTGGGGCTGTTTGGAGAAAAGGAAAAGCAACTGAGCACTGAGAAGCTGAGGAGAGGAACTGCCGAAGCCACCTAAGAGTTCCCTCTTCCCTGGAACATAGGGAAGGAAGATTTTTCGGAATCATGCTAAACAACATTGCAAGAGCCAAGGCCCAGAGTCTGCAGCCAAGCTGCTGCAAGAGCACAGCAAAAATATCCCTGTTTGAAAATAATCAACTCAAAACTTCACTGAATATTTCAGTTATGGGCTGGGGAGAGAGGGAGATGAGGGACATGACAATGAATGAAATGTAATACATTCATACGTTTGCAGAGTACATGGGACCCTCACTGTACAGCATAATGCCACATCAGCAGAGAGAGGGACTGGGTGATCTGGCAGGTTGTTTTACATCCTTTATTTCTCTGAGCTGCCAGTCATGGTAGTTTTTATTTGCCAAAATCACTTTCTCAAGATTTAAAAAAAAAATCCCACAGCTATTCAATCTCATTTAGATGGAACATAAACCAATGCTGTTAACTTTCTTACCATGATCCTGTCACTGTCGATAATGGTGTTCAACCTGTGTGCAATGGTCAGCACAGTGCACTGGGCAAACTTTTCACGAATTGTCTTTTGAATCAACTCATCGGTTCTGAAACACAGAAAGAGCAATGCAAATGGAATTGAGAGATATACATGAACAATGAACTCACTGCTGAGAAGTTCTATGCTTGTACTATAAATAATTGTAACATCAGCAAATGCTAATCTACGGAGATGCAGCAAATACTAATCTCCCTTCAGTGTGAATGAAACACACCCAAAAGGAGGATTCTGAAGGTTAAGGAAGAAAATGCTTCTTTTTCAAATAACTTTCACTGTCATGTGCAGTAAAGATCAGTAGTTAAAGTAAGAGGGAACTGGGTGAGTGAATGGCTTCATTTCTTCTCCCTGACTTGAGGGATCAGCACATTCCTACTTGTCCCCCTTCTCCTCTAGTAATGCAGCCAAAAAAACCCTCTTCTGTTTCAAACTTTTTTAATCACTAGGCTAGGTCAAATCCACCCAAAAGTCTCACACTACATACAACTTTCAAAATATCAGTCTGATTTTAATTAGTGTCTGAATGAAAGTATCTACAATAAGCAAATACCCCCTATTGAAAAAATCCAGTAACATAAAAATACCCATATATTACATAAAATATATGTAGCCAAGGACCCAAAGTCTCCCTCCTGAAAAGGGGACAGCCCTATACATGTCTTTATTTCCTAAACATGCAAGACATAAAAGTAGCAGAACACCAGCTACTTGTGGAAACAGGACTTTGGGGGCACACGGTCCCAGAAGCCCAGCATGCGGGGACCCTTCCTTAAGAGTTTCCTGAAGAAATTGCCTCTTAAGTAGGCTCCTCCCTTCTCCCAAAAGAGAAAATTCAGGAACAGAAGAACTGCCACTGAGGCAAGGTTACAAGGAACCAGTTGAGCTTCCTCCTCGTCTATCCCTCATCTCTTCTGGAGACAGACGTCTTGAGCACTCCTATCCCAGCAGCCCTTCTGGCACCTTCATACCCCAGACCATGGTAGTATTAGAGCATTCAGTGCACAATCATCAGGTTTTTTGCCCTCTTCTTAGAGACACTGCATACACCAACTCCAGGTACTCTCTCTGCTGTTGTCCACTCTCTTAGTCACGGAGGGGACAGCAGCCCAGAGAAGAGAGAGGGCCCCACTATTAGAAGCAGTCGTGAGGATAGTTTATATAGACACCTCATCTCCAATAAATCTAGACAGAAGGCTGGTTAAGGATGATCTATATAGAAGAGAAGAGGGTATAACAAGAAATTCTGGAAACAATTAAAAATAAAGTTCGGAACTTTCAAATGGTGCCCGTTGTCAGCCACACAATCTTACAATTATCTTCTTTTCTGTCGTTTGTTACATTCTCTTGTTGCATATTTTATGAGGAAGTTGTTCAGGGCAGATGCATGTTTGCTTATATTTTGGGCAGAATCTAACACAATGGGGTCTGATCCTAATAATACACCCAGGGAATGCATATATGTTCATTTTCAAAAGTTCTGAAAGTGAGGCTGCCAAAAGAAGAGTTAAACATATTAATTAGAAAAAAGTGGAAGTGGCTTAAATCCCCGCATATTTAAACCAGCACAAGTTACAATATAATATAGAATCTGTCTCTGATAGGTACAGATCCAGATCCCACCCCCCAAGGTTTATGCAGATTCTAGAGGAGAGTGTGCTGGAGGGAAGGGGGGAAAAGGGTTGCAGTGGTTGAAAGCAGCTGCTGCTTCATCTTCAACAGAGGAGAGAAAGAAGTAGCACAGCCTCAAAAAATGCCCCTCTCAGATTTGGCTGGGAAATGGGTATGACCATGGAGCCTGGGCTGCCCAAGTGCAAATGCATTCTCAGTGTGAATTACAGCTACCCACCCAGTGGGAAACTGAGACAAAATAGCAGTGGCTTTTCCATTCCTCAGGGTGAATTCACACTGTGATCAAGTACCTCTGCAGGCCAGCTTCACTAGAGCTCCAATCCTTCAAGCATGTTTGAAAACAAAAACCTGATCTGAACATTAACCAAATAATAGCAGCTGGCAAAAAAAAACCAACCCTCATGTAATTAAATGTCATACAGACAGATTTATCTAGAAGTGAAAAAGGGGATGTAAACTCTCCAGAAAGTTTCATAAGTCTCAATTACTGGAGATTTTCCAAAACATAATCCTGGAAACAAAGTGATTCATATGATTTCCAATTTTAATGCTGCAACTTTTAAGAATTATCTAACAGCTAGAGAATTATTGTATTCATGGGAATAAGAATTCCAACTTCATGAGCAAGTAAAAAAGCTAAAATCATGCTAAATTTCCATCAATCATCATGTGACACACATAGACCACCAGCTATTAAGCCTTGTAGGGCCTTTAATCTGTATCTGGGTAGCGTTGCTGGGGCTAGCTTTGAGGTGAGCTCCTATAAACTCTAGAGTTTGTGTAGGCTTGAGTGTGGATTTTTGGTAGTTTATGTGAAACCCGAGGTCGACCAGCTGAAAAATGGTTATGTTGACCATACACTGTGTTTTTTGAAACAACGTGCCCTTTAGGAGGCAGTTGTCAAGGTATGGGAATATTATTACTCCCTGATGGTGGAGGTGTGCAGTTACTACAGCTAGAGTCTTTGAAAAAACTCTTGGCGCTGTTGAAAGGCCAAATGGGAGGATGGCAGTATTGATAGTATTGTTTGCCAACTATAAAGTATAAAAAGCATCTATGCGATGGGTAGATTGTGATGCGGAAATACTTAACCTATAGGTCAAGAGCCGAGATCCAGTCCCCATGATCCAATGAAGTTATAATTGTTGTTAGCATCACCCACCTTGAATTTTCTGCATGTTACATACTTGTGGAGTTTTCTGAGATATAAAATGGGCCTCCATCCACTGTTTTTCTTCTGTGTTAGGAAATACTTTGAGTAGAAGCCCTTTCCCTGGAAAGCCGCTGGCACTGGCTCTATCGCTTCTATTTATAGGAGGTATTGGACCTCCTGTTGGGGCAAGACCTCATGAGAGGGGTCCCTGAAAAGGAACGGGGAAGGAGAGTGGGTAGGGGGTAGAAAAATGAAAGGGATGGAGTAGCCTGAAAAGGTCCGGGGAGAAGGAGTGGGTAGGAGGAAGAGAAATGAAAGGGATGGAGTAGCTCACTTTGACAACCTCCAGTATCCATTGATCTGATGTAATCTGTGTCCATTGGTTAGAAAGGACTATAGACGGTGGGTGAACTGAAGATGATGGTGTCATTACTGATTTCTCTCTGGCTCTCGACCAAACCTTCAAATCTGTTGTTTGGAGGATGAAGGTTAGATAGTTGTGGATTGCTGGTGGCACTGAGTTCTGCATCTCTGCAACCTGTGCTTCTGAAGATGTATCGACGAACTTGTTTATACAACTCTCTAGGTCTGGGATAACTGTTGTATCTTTCACATGTATACACTCTTGTTAGGTGGGAATTTTTCCGAGAATGCCACCATAGAGGTCCTGGATTTCAGTCTCTTTCCTAGCAGCCTAAATTTGGCCTCCAGGACATCTCTCCTACCCTTCCCTATGTCATTGGTACCTACATGTACCACGACCACCGGCTCCTCCCCAGCACTACACATAAGTCTATCTAGATGCCTTGAGAGATCTGTAACCTTTGCACCAGGCAGGCAAGTGACCATACGGTTCTCCCGGTCATCACAAACCCAACTATCTATGTTTCTAATGATCGAATCACCCACTACTAACACCTACCACCTTCTTCAGATCATGTTCCTTTGGTAGGGCCACCCTCTTAAATAATTCTTGAAATTGTTTGATGTCATCTGTGGGTGTTGGAGTGGTTAAGATGATGACCTCATCAGGTGATGAGGAAGAGTGATGAGGTGGGGACCTCTCCTCTTTTTCAGAGAGGAAGTCTTCCACTGACTGTGCCAGAGAGTTCGGTGCTGCATCCCAGAATGTAGGCTGAGGAGAACGTGGTAGTCTCTTAGCCAGTGCAGAAGGAGCGATGCGGTGGCTCCTATGGGAGGACCAAGTATCTCAGGGGTGCCACTGACTTGGGTAAGGAGGTTGTGGATAAAGCCAATGGTGAGACTGCCAGTGAGGTGGTGGAGGAGCATGGGATGGTTTTTTAGAGTGGGGCTCCCATGGTGAGTGCCGCTGAGTGGGGCATGAGTGCTGGGAAGAAAAACAGCTGTGTTGACTGCTGCCTGACCCACTAAGAGACAGTGACAGAGCTGGTGACCTGGACGAGCGTATAGAGTGCACTGTGAATACTGATGAGGGCAGTGCCAAGGAAGCACAAACTCTTGATAAGGGAGGTTGCTAAGTACGGTCAAACAACGGTGCCAAGCCACATGTGTTGTGGCCAGTGCCAACAGTGCTGAGGGTGGAGTCAGAGTTGGTGACCGAGGTGGAGGCATATCCAGCACCATCTCTGGTGTCGTCTTCTGTACCGACTTAGGATGTTCAGTACACACAGTGAAAGCAGTACCATCGGTATTGACGACTTCTGTTTGGGATTGGAATGAGCTCTCTTGGGTGGCGCCAAGTGCTTAGGTGGTACCTTGCTGAGATGCCAGGCTTGAAGCCTATACTCATCTTAGATGGGCTTGGTACCAGAGGCAGTGATTTTGCAGGAGAAACCTGGGGTTTTGCCTTTGCCTTATGGGACAAGGCAGAGGGACAACCTTTGACCATATCCCTTGTTTGTCCACGTCTTTGGTGTGGGATGGTGAGTTGTCCTGTGAAGGCTGGAGAGACTTTCATATAGATATGTCTTCAGTGTATGTCTTAGTATGGTCTTGGCAAGCTCTTGCAATCAGGTTGGAGCAGAGCGAACATTTCTGTATCATGTACATCTCACAGAGGCACTTGATACAGGAGGAATGGCCATGAGAAGCAGGCATGCCCTCTCTGCACAAGCCATAGCGCTTAAAGCCTGGGGAACCAGGCATACCAAAAAACAATAAAGAACTAGTTTTTTTAAAACAGGGAAAACGATGTGGAGTTTGGTTTTATTTTTTTGGATGAGGAATAGAATCGGTAGGATTCAAAAACTCAGAATTGAAGAAGAACTGAGGAGATCTGATGGATTTTTTTGTCATTTCAGATGAGGAAAGAGCGAGTAAGAGAAGCTCAGTCTGCTGCTGAGGACAGTAAAGAAGGAACAGATGGACCACACTGTGCGTATGCCTAGCAGACACCAATGGCACGAGGAGGAGCTATGACACATACGTAATGCAGCACTGCTAAAAAAATCTCCAGTTGTCAATGCAAGGACGCACCAGCCGCCAGAGTGGAGCACCCATGGGGACATCTCTTGAAGAACTGAAAGGTACCTCAAGAGGTTATCAAGTCCAGTCTTGGCAGGACCAAGCACCATCTATCTAGATTAGATAAACTCTGACAGATGTTTATCTAATCTCTTAAATATCTCCAATGATTGCGATTCCTCCACCTCCCTAGACAATTTATTCAAATGCTTAACCACCCTTGCGGCAATTTACGTCCATTGCTTCTTGTCCTATCACCAGAGGTTAAGGAGAATAATTTTTTTCCCTCCTCTTTGCGACACTCATTCAGGGTATGTCTACACTACCCCGCAAGTTCGAACTAGTGGGGTAATGTATGCATACCGAACGTGCAAATGAAGCCCGGGATTTGAATTTCCCGGGCTTCATTTGCATAAGCCGGCCGGCGCCATTTTTAAATGCCGGCTTGTTCGAACCCCGTGCCGCGCGGCTACACGCGGCACGGGCTAGATAGTTCGAACTAGCAAGCCATTCCGAACTATCTGTACGCCTCGTGGAACGAGGAGAAAATATAAGTTAAGCTAACCGGCTGTAGTTTCCTGAGTTGTCCTTATTGGCTCTTTTATAGATAGACACTAAATTTGACTTTTTCCTGTCTTCTGGAATTTCTGCCCTCTTCCATGACTTTTCACAGTTTATAGCTAATGGCTCAAATACCTCAATTGGCTCCTTGAGTGTTCTCAGATGCATTTCCTCAGGCCCTGCTGACCTGAAGACATCTAACTTTTCTAAGTAATTTTTAACTTGTTTCTTTTCTTATTTTAACTTTTGAACCTACCTCTTGCTCTCCAGCATTCACTATTGTAGGCATCCAATCACCACCAACCTTCATGGTGAAAAGTGAAATTAAGAAGTCATTAAGCACCTCTGCCATTTCCACATTTTCTCTTATTGTTTTTCCCTCTTCATTGAGCAATGGGCTTACTCTGTTCTTGGTCTTCCTGTGACTTCTAATGCATTTGTAGAATGTTTTCTTGTTACCCTTTATGTCTCTAGCTAGACTGAGCTCATTTTGTGCCTTTGCCTTTCTAATTTTGCCTCTTCATATTTTTGTTATTTGTTTAAAATCATCCTTTCTACTTTGACCTAGTTACTACTTTTTATAAGATTCCTTTTTTATTTTTAAATCATATAAGATCTCCTGGTTAAGCCAAGGAGGTCTCTTGCCATACTTCCTATCTTTTCTGCACAGTGGAATAGTGTCCGCTCACACCTTTAATAATGTCCTTTTGAAAAAATGCCAACTCTCTTCATTTGTTTTTCCTCATAGTCTTGATTCCCATAGGACCTTACCTATCAGTTCTCTGAGGGTATGTCTACACTACCCCGCTAGTTCGAACTAGCGGGGTAGTGTAGACATACCCTTAGTTACTTGTACTACCCATTTCAATTATCTTACTTGACATTTGCTGCAGACACTGTAATAAAATAAATGTTTACTCATATATGAACTGTAAGCATTACTGTACAAATGATTGACAAGGTATCAGTTTTAATATGGAGTTTCTTCTTTTCATTGGTTTGCATTCCGGTCTTGACTACCCTTTTCTTAACATTTTGGATATAGCTGTGTAGTAGACTTTTAAGCAGTGCAACCTAATAGAATATATATCCAGAAACACTGTAATCTTCTGCCAAATAGAAGATTGATAGATTACTTGAGTGAAAGTGATCATGAAATGATAGAGTTTGTGATTCTAAGGAATGGTAGAAAGGAGAACAGCAAAATAAAGACAATGGATTTCAGGAAGGCAGACTTTAGCAAACTCAGGGTATGTCTACACTACCCTCCTAGTTCGAACTAGGAGGGTAGTGTAGACATACCCTGAGTTTGCTAAAGTCTGCCTTCCTGAAATCCATTGTCTTTATTTTGCTGTTCTCCTTTCTACCATTCCTTAGAATCACAAACTCTATCATTTCATGATCACTTTCACTCAAGTAATCTATCAATCTTCTATTTGGCAGAAGATTACAGTGTTTCTGGATATATATTCTATTAGGTTGCACTGCTTAAAAGTCTACTACACAGCTATATCCAAAATGTTAAGAAAAGGGTAGTCAAGACCGGAATGCAAACCAATGAAAAGAAGAAACTCCATATTAAAACTGATACCTTGTCAATCATTTGTACAGTAATGCTTACAGTTCATATATGAGTAAACATTTATTTTATTACAGTGTCTGCAGCAAATGTCAAGTAAGATAATTGAAATGGGTAGTACAAGTAAAAAATAAATAAAAATGTCAAAATGGGAAGATTGAATAACAGGATATGAAATTTCTCTGATTAAATCATAGATATTATCACTTTTTATCCACATTTAAGCTTACAACCCAAAATCTGTAGAGAAAGAAAGGCTCTTTCTCTAAAGGTTTTAGAAATTAAATATACACTTAACTACAAAGCTACACTATTAGCACCACTTCTTTCTCAGGTAGAGGTTAGAAAATGATTCACGGACAGAAACTTCAGTGGAAGGATGCATTTGTGGTTCTGGACTCCATGGGAATCAGGAAGCAGTCTACTAATTAGCAATGCTAGGCGTGCGCGCATCTGTGTGTGTGTGTGTGTGTTTAAATCCAAGTGAAAATAAAATAACCTGTTTCCTCTATAGAGAAAGAAATGCAATTGATACTTTGCTTCTAGAATTATAGACTTACTGGCTACATCTAGACTGGCATGATTTTCCGCAAATGCTTTTAACGGAAAAGTTTTCCGTTAAAAGCATTTGCGGAAAATCATGCCAGTCTAGATGTAGCCAGTAAGTCTATAATTCTAGAAGCAAAGTATCAATTGCATTTCTTTCTCTATAGAGGAAACAGGTTATTTTATTTTCACTTGGATTTAAACACACACACACACACACAGATGCGCGCACGCCTAGCATTGCTAATTAGTAGACTGCTTCCTGATTCCCATGGAGTCCAGAACCACAAATGCATCCTTCCACTGAAGTTTCTGTCCGTGAATCATTTTCTAACCTCTACCTGAGAAAGAAGTGGTGCTAATAGTGTAGCTTTGTAGTTAAGTGTATATTTAATTTCTAAAACCTTTAGAGAAAGAGCCTTTCTTTCTCTACAGATTTTGGGATAAACAAGGTACAGTTAACTGTAGTTGGGAGGGTTTCACTCGACACAGCCCTTAGCACAATTGGTTACTCTTCTATCACTAGGCTCTCTACATGCTGTGGTTATTCAAATAATAATAGTAAGTATGGCATGCTAGAATACTACAGGCAAGATTTCTCACTTGTGTTGTTCATATTCTCATTAAATCCACAATTTATTATTGTAACTCCTTCTATATTGGAATATCAAAGTAACTCCAATGATTGCAGCTAATGCAAAAAAGCGTATTGAACGACCAGTCGTGAACATATAATATCAGTTCTTTGACTGATGAGTGAACTTCAATTTCCTTTGAGGATATATAAAATATTAAATGCATCTATTTGAGGGACTTGCTGTTTTATTGTCCTTGGATTTTCTCAAACCATAGTTTGGTGGAACTGTCTGTTCAGCTCAAAGGAATGCAGCATATTTGCAGTATTTTCAAAAAATATGATCTAATTTAGTTATTCCCACTGGTGTATAAAAGAGCTTGAGAAGAGCTTTATTTTGTAGTTCCTATGATATTTGAAGATCTCTTTGGATTCTGAGTTCATCTATTTAATGGGTTTTATCTATAACCCACTTTATGTATTGAATAGCATTCTTTGCTTTTGGCAGAAATGGCACCTAATAAATACTATTTATCACAGTCATTTTTTCTTACTAGTCTTTATCGCTATGTGTAGAGTATACCTTTCCTGGATCAACAGACCCCAACACGGTGTCTAACTTTTTTTTCATGAGGATCCTCGTCTATTGTGGGATGGTGGTGGCCTTAGAGTCTTTCCACTTTCAAGAGGTTATCTTTCGTTTGCCATCTAACTGTCAGTCCTAAGGTATCAGAGACACACCAACAGAAGCTGGTTCAATAAAAGATATTACCTCATCCACTCTGTCTCTCTAAGAGGTTATCTTGACAGTGCTGATCTGCATTTCCAGAAGGAGCCTTTTATCCATGGCTGCTGCAGGGTAAATAGCTTTGAATGTTAATTTACGCACAGAAATCAAGGATATTTTTCTTCTTCCAAGGACAGAGCCTGTATCTATCCTCTCTCAGGATGTGTTCAGGAGCTTTCATGATCGAGCCCCTTAAGCCATGTACAGTGTTCGGTTTGTCTGTTCTGATTAGGCATTAGTGATGCTGTCAGCGTTTCATGAAAACACAAACCTCAACACGGGACGCACGAGTTATGAAGCTTTTCAGTTCACCTCCATGTTACACCAACCCTATACAAATAGGATAATTCATTTTACTATGGCCTTGGGTGACATACCTCGGATCCACATTTGCTGTTGCTTCGTCAATAATCAGAATTCTATTTTTTTTTAGAATTGCCCTGGCAAGGCACACCAGCTGTCTCTGACCAACACTAAAATTAGATCCAGATTCTGCCAATTGTGTCTCCATTTTATCAGGTAGTTCTTCCACAGCCTCCTTCAGTTGTACCTGTAGGAATGTCAGTGAACTAAGCAAAACACTGGTGGTGTGATTAAGTTGCCTATTTTTGTTAGCTTTACACAACAATAGGAATGTAAGATTTACCTTTCCTATTCATATGCATACACTATGTAATTCAATTCTACAACTATTAAGTCTAAAATTGTTTAAAATCTACTTTAATTAATCAAAATATATCAAACCTGCATCCCGAATGATACAAAATCTGAATGCAAGATCCAGCAGGACAGTGTTTTTTACACACACACACACACACACACACCCACCCACCCACCCACACACAGCACAACTGCTTTCCTTTCCTCAGTCAGTCATACCTTTACTGAACCCAGCAAAACCAAATCAAACCTAATATGTCTGATACAAATAATGTTATTTGATATGTAAACATTAGGTATAAATGATGAGTTTTTTGGAATTACCTCTTCCAAGACATTCCACAGCTCTTCATCAGTGTATTCATTGAAAGGATCTAAGTTTTTTCTCATTGTTCCAGTGAACAAAACAGGCTCCTACAAACCAATGTAATATATATTTTACTTTTTATATACACTTAGTTTTCATACTGCAATATAGAATTTAAAACATACTAAAGCTGATTTGAAGCATGCATGGCACATACATGTAGTACAACAACAAATTATCCCTAGTACAGGTTAAACCTCTCTAGTCCATCAGCCTCAGGACACGAGCAGTGCCAAACCAGAGAATTTGTCAAATCACAGGAGGTCAATATTGTCTTGAAGCATTGCCAACACTTCCACTGCTTATTGGGCTCTTAGAAGTCATTGAGGGGTAAATTAGAACTAAATAACAGCACAGAACACAGAGGCTACATCTACACTTAGATTTTTGCCACAAAAGCCTATGCAAATGAAGCGCAGATTAGCATTTTCTCACACTTCATTTGCATACTCTCTTTTGTTCTGTTTTTGCGCAAAAACCTCTAGGGCAAAAAGGGAACAAAAGAGAGCATGCAAATTAAGTGTGAGAAAATGCTAATCCGCGCTTCATTTGCATAGACTCTTGAGGCAAAAGTCATAGTGTAGACATAGCCAGAGAGCCAGGACTGGTGACCGTAAACAAACATATGGGACCAGATATACCTCTTTTTTGAGGCATAAAGATCTTGCGCAAAAAGGGGGTTTTACACAAAAAGGAAACGTACACACTGCCTGTTTTTGCGCAAAAACCTCTAGGGCAAAAAGGGAACAAAAGAGAGCATGCAAATTAAGTGTGAGAAAATGCTAATCCGCGCTTCATTTGCATAGACTCTTGAGGCAAAAGTCATAGTGTAGACATAGCCAGAGAGCCAGGACTGGTGACCGTAAACAAACATATGGGACCATGGGAAACATAGCTACGGCCATAGTAAATGGACATCCTGCTACCTAAAATCATTCTGGACCATGGATGTTGCCATATTAGAGAGGTTCAAACTGGATTTTTATTTTATTTCAGTCTGAAGAAACCCTCCAAGTTTGACATTAAAGAATCTGAAAGATAATGGATTTTACAACTTTTCTACAACATTTACATCTACACACATCTGTTGTTGATGGTTAATACTAATATTTGTACTTCAGTAGCACCAAGAGGCATCATTCAGAATGGGGTACCTCTGGGAAAACACACGGCAAAGAATAAGCATTGTCCCAGAGAGTTCACACAAGACTAGAGAATAGGAAGGAGAGACAAGGGTGGCAAAGACACAGGCTAGACACATGCCTGAATTAATGGTTAAAAAGAAAATCAGAATTTTCTTTTTAACCAAGCCATGACTGACTGATTTCCTGTAGGGGTTTACAGCAGAGCAGGAAGCAGAAGTATGGATTAGTGGAGGGAGAGAACTCCATATTATGGGCAATGTGAAAAAAGTCTGGAGATATTAGTAGGAGAAGCAGACTAATGGGCATTAGGGCTATGTCTAGACTGCAAGCCTCTTTTGAAAGAGGGTCTTTCGAAAGATACTTTCGAAAGAGCCTCTTTCGAAAGAGAGCGTCTAGACTGCACGTTGAACTTTCGAAAAAGCGGCTTGCTTTTTCGAAAGAAAGCATCCAGTGAGTCTGGATGCTCTCTTTCGAAGAAGCCCTATTTACATTCAAGAACGCCTTCTTTCGAAAGAGGAACTTTCGAAAGAAGGCGTTCTTCCTCGTAAATTGAGGTTTACCGCCATAGAAAGAAAAGCCGCGTTCTTTCGATTTAATTTCGAAAGAACGCGGCTGCAGTCTAGACGCAGGTGAGGTTTTTTCGAAAAAAGGCTACTTTTTTCGAAAAAAACCCTGAGTCTGGACACAGCCTAAAAGTGCACAGAGTATGGGGGTGATAAGAATGTGCAAATAAATAAGGAGGGAAGAACTCTGAGGGGAGGCTAAGAAGCTTGAACTTGATACAGCAAAATATGAGACAATGGACAGAAGCGAAGAGGGAAGAGGAGAAGAATGATTATGG